CTCTCTCTCTTCATTTGAACAGGTAAACTTGTGCACTGGTTTGTAGGACAGTACGTGGAGCTGGAGGTACATTACCCTCATTTTGTATCAGAATGTTTTTATTACCAGATATAGTGGAAACATCATTAACTTGCATTTTGTATGTAACAGGTCAGAGTCTTAAAGTCAGAGGCAAAATCTGAATTGCTTAATGAAATGGAGTTTTTTTGATTCACAGGTTCTTAAAATAATTGAAAGCAGGCTAATTATGAGGTTCCAATTCAAGGTCCTGGCAGTCAGCCTTCCTGGGTGGGTATGAAAGACGATTGTGTTAAGTATATTCACTGTTTGGTTTTAAACATAGATTCTCCTGAAGTGGTTTGAGAAGTGCTTGGAAGCAGTTTACTTTATGGAGTAGATCCAGCGTGTTCCCTACAATCTGTCCAGTCAAAACCTGCCTCTCGAGGGAGGTAGAATGGGCTGTGAAGACTGGGCATCCTTTTTTTGTTTTTAAAATCTTTATTGGAGTATTATTGCTTTACAATGGTGTGTTAGTTTCTGCTTTATAACAAAGTGAATCAGCTATATGTATACATATGTCCCCATATCCCCTCCCTCTTGCGTCTCCCTCCCTCCCACACTCCCTATCCCACCCCTCTAGGTGGTCACAAAGCACTGAGCTGATCTCCCTGTGCTATGTGGCTGCTTCCCACTAGCTATCGATTCTACGTTTGGTAGTGTATATATGTCCATGCCACTCTCTCACTTTGTCCCAGCTTACCCTTCCCCCTCCCCGTGTCCTCAAGTCCTTTGAACAGTGTTAGTTACCCCCTACCCCCCTCAACAAAAATGCCCCTGCCGTTTTCTTCCTCCTGCCCGAATGGCTCTGTTAAGGATTGTTCCTTGGTCTACACTAGTTGTATCATCCCAAGTCCTTTTTCGTGATACAAATGTCTTGGGGAGAGGCAGTATTTTGTAAGAATTAATCATGAACATCTTCGCAAGTTCCCATACTGATACAAGGGAATGGCATTTTTAAGGGAGAAGGGAGGTTTATTTTCTCATAACTTTACAATCGCCCCCTCTGCAGTCGTCATTCTTAGTTTGTTTCCCTCACCACATTCTAGCAGTCTCTTGAATACTCAACCAAGAAGCCTTACCTCAGAAGGGGAGAGAAATATAAAGATGGACAAAAGGGAAGGTGACTATAAGAGGGACAAGAGAGAAATGCAATTAATCTTTTTTTGTTTGTACTTGGGGCCGATAATAACTTGAAACTTATAATTAAGGTAACATACAAGTTTTGTGACACTGAAATCTACAAATATTTAATATGGGAACAAAGTGGCGTTTGAGTGGTTTAGTGTCCCAGGGGACACTCAGGTCTCAGGGAAATCCTTGTAGAATGTACTGGTGAAATACCTTATTCTTCCCTTAACCCCAGTGGCCTATGTGTACCCTATAAACAAAGGCAGCCGTAGGGTGGAGATGGAGTAGGGAAGGGGATTCCAAATGTACCCTTTGTGAATGTCTCTGATCTGTCTACCAGAAACTTGGAGGGAGCCAGAGAAGCAGGATGAGAGAGTGGGTACCAGGAATCCTGGGTGCACCAAAGCTTCCTCCAGTAACCTTTGCACGGATGCCCTGCTTGTGTCTACAGGTGTTGACATATCGCTTTGGCTTCCATCATGCAGGTACTGTGACTACTTCAGTTTATATCAAGCAGTTCTGAGCAGTAATGAGTCTACGATGAAACATAGGACACCTAATGAGACCGGGTACGGAAAGGACAAAGGTCAGTCAAAACACACACTCAGTGAAATAAAATGAAAAAGTAAAATGAAAGCCCATGATGATGTCAGACTATTTAGTGGCATGGGGAGGTGGCATGCCTGAACAGGAAGGAATAAAAGCAGTCTACCAGTTAACATATAGTGAGGACAGTCAAGATCCCCGTCTACCTTCCCACCGCAGCAGCTAGTCACAGACCACGGACTGAAGGTACCTGGACTTTGTTTATGTTTGTGTATGGAGGAAATCCCTGACATGATGATAAGGGAGCTCGTGGCCCAGAGAAGCCTGTCTGGCTGGATTCAGCGGCCGCTGGCCTGGACCACAGCTCCTAACCTTCCCAGTACTTTGCTCCTTTTGGTTCCCTTGGGGGTTGCACCACCATCCCCTCCTCGCCTTCCCTCTTTAGCCCTCTGATGGCAGAGGCCCCGCCATCAGGTGCCTCAAGTGCCCTGCTGATCCCATTTTCCTATCCCTGCTGTTGCTGTTTCTTTAAGTCTTATGGCAACTAAGAGCATATTGTCACATGATCAGAGGGGGAACTTTTAGAATTTTAGAACCTTGTGGGACCTATGGATATAGTAAGCCTGAATTTGGGCCTTGAGCCAAAGACTGCAGCCGTACCTGTTGTGCACGCTGAGTGGAGGACTGCATACTTCCGTTCGTTAGAAGCAAGCACATTCTTTGTAAGGTCATTAGGCTAGAGTCCTAAAATGAATGTATAGATCAAAGTCCGTATAACACTAACTATTTTGACCTGTCAAAATCTCACCCCAGAAAGATTTTCAAGTTACATTCTCACTAGTGGTGTGAGGGAATATCTCTTTGCCCCTGTCATTATTAAATTCTAAATTTTCAATCAAGATACAATACGCCAACGATAAATACTTTTTCCCTCAATAAAATGTTCTCTTTCGTCCTGCTTCACCTCTGTCACCAAAAAGATGAGGCTTTTAGAATATATATACTTTCTGCCTCTCCTCTCTTCTACCCTACCATAATCAAGACATTTGGAACCCTTCTATTTCCACTTTCACACCTCACTCTCATCCCCAAGTGATGAGGTTGGTGGAGATAGGTGACATCTGAAAGTATGAAAATAATATAGCTAGGATTTTTATCATTTTTAGGTCTCTATAAGGAGCAATATTTAACTTGTAATATGAAAGCCGATCAATCACATTTCAGATATTGGATGTTAAAAGACATTCTAGCGATGAAGACAATGGTGAAGTTGAATTGAGACCTTTCCAAAGTCCAGGGAGGTCTACAACAATGAGGGGTTCCCATCTTCCCAAAAGAAGAAATACAAGTATGTTCAAGTAATGAGTTAGCAAAATTGCCAAGTAGAATATTGAATAAAAAAGGAAGAATACCTGCCATGAGATGTTGAGAGAAAATAAAAGGATAGAACATCAAACAAAACTTCAGATATAACTACCCACAAATGTGGAACCCACAGTTATATCCACCAAGAAATCTTAAGCAGAGGATTTAGTCTAAAGTGGTTCTGGGGACTTCCCTGATGGTCCAGTGGCTAAGACTCCACGCTCCCAATGCAGGTGGCCGAGGTTCAATCCCTGGTCAGGGAACTAGACACCGCAGGGTGCAACTAAGGGTTCGCATGCTGCAGCTAAAGATCCCGCGTGCTGCAACTAAGACCTGGCAGAGCCAAATGAATATTTTAAAAAATAAAGTGGTTCTGGACTGGTTGTTTAGAAAATATAGGCTTAAAGGATATGAACATTCAAATTGACTTTCAACTTGGAGGATTGTGTATAATCCTCCCAATGGCTCCGCTACTCCAGTTTGTTCTACCTTCATGGAATCACACAGAGACAGCCTATCTTGGAAGCCAAAGTTGGGTAACATCTTGACTATACCCACCATTCTCAGCTCTTTCCTGTACTATCATTACTTGAATGGGACTATCACCTTGGCTGCATCCAGAGTCCTTCTCTCCTCAACCATCCAGTTATCTCCCAAATGAGTTGAATGGATATTCTGCCTGAACGTCCAGTTTTAACAGGTCACTAGATAGCTAAGTGCATTGAGTAGGACACTCCTGGGAAATCCTGGGACCTCAGACCACCAGGGGTCATTTAAGTCCATTATTTGATGAATCAATATCCACACAATTTATGTAATCAAGGCCATAAAGATGAGGAGAAAAGAACTTGCTGTGTAAGGCAGCCATAACATCAGGGCCAGCCCTGTCCACTCTGCCTAAAATAAAACATGTTAATATCTATTATTAAAAGTGATGAAGGGGATTTCCCTGGTAGTACAGTGGTTAAGGATCCGCCCGCCAATGTAGGGGACACGGGTTCGAGCCCTGGTCCGGGAAGAACCCACATGCCGCGGAGCAACTAAGCCCCTGCGCCACAACTACTGAGCCTGTGCTCTAGAGCCCACAAGCCACAAATACTGAGCCCGCGTGCCACAACTACTGAAGCCCACGCGCCTAGAGCCCTTGCTCTGCAACAAGAGAAGCCACCGCAATGAGAAGCCCGCGCACCGCAATGAGGAGTAGCCCCCACTCGCCGCAACTAGACGAAGCCCGCGCACAGCAATGAAGACCCAGCGCAGCCAAAAATAAATAAATAAAATAAATAAATTTATTTTAAAAATGTGATGAAGACTTATGTTTATTGAGTTCCTAGTACGTACCAAGAAATGTTAGATGTGCCTCATTCACATGACCTTATTTCATCATCGTCTTAGATGAGGTCCCTGTTCCTGCCTACTCCTTTGGAATGGTACAGATAGAGAAGCATATATCTGCAAACAAAAGAATATACTCCAGGTATTTTAAGCAGGTATATTTAAGCACTTAGTGCAAGTAACTGTAAGAAGGGCTGGAGGGGCAGGCTGTAGCTTTCATTTTATTTTTCATGGTATTACGAGTATTAAAACTAATGCCCATTGAAGCAGATGCTGTTAATGCTCTGTTTTTACCCCTCTAGAACTCTCGACCATTTTCATGCACCTCCGCTTCCCTGTGCTTTTGCTCACAATAGCCAGAATCTGTGGCTCCTTCTCACAGGGCTGCCTACAGGCTACCAGAACCCCCTTTGTAAGCATGAAGAGCCAGTATCTCATAATTTAAGCCATAGCTAATGATTGATGGATACATAGGTATAAATACCTCAGCTGTCTTGCTCCTGATTAGGAGAACTCTGAGGTGTGACCTGCATTGCCTCCAGAGTTCCCCTATTAGATTGTGCCAAAGTGATCCTCTATGAGACTTTGGTCGATAACAAAATATTGCTTGGCTTTCTTCACTTCCCCCCAAGTCCACTTTCTCACTCTCCTGTCTGTATATTTTTTGGACCACTTCTTGATATATATGACTTTTACATGAGTCCTTGGTCAAAGTCCGCTTATAGGGAACCTAATCTAAAGGCACTGCCAAGTTGTTTTCCAAAATATTTCTTAATTTACGCTCTTACCTTCAGTGTATGTGTTCCCATTTCCTCACTAGTACTTGGTATTGTCAGAGTCTAAGTTTTTGTCAATTATATTGTTCTAATCTCCTTGTATTGGTTAACTTTCTATATTGTTAAATATGCATGTTAACTTTTCAGAGCAACCACTAAAAGTATGGAAATAGAGAATATAACTTCTTAACTAGTAGAAGAAAGTAATTAAAGAATGCAAGGAACTTAGAACCTTTTAATTACAAATAATCACCTCCCAGGGTAAATACTCTTCATACTGTCATTACTTTAGCTTCATTCGTTTTTGATTTTTTTATTTTAAAATTAAATATTTGTCCTATTGTTTGTTTAGATTTAGCCACATACTTATCCTTTTTTTTTTTTGCACCTGGCCAACAATTTATAAGACTATGATTAATTGTAAGAAACACCCTTATATTAGAAGTATTACAATGTGAAAATTTTGAGTCTTAGTGTTGAAAACAATATTATTCCATGGTCTTTTAGCTTCCATTTTTTACTGTTAATAAATCAGCTGCCAGTCTAATTTTGTGTTTCTTCTTTGGTTGTTTTAAAGATCTTCTCTTTGTATTTGATGTTCAGCAGCTTCTCTACTATTTAATCTAAAAATGCATTACTTTTCTTTTTCTTTCATTATATTTAAGAAATGAGATATAAATTACATCCAGTAAAGGACAAAAATCTTAAGCATAGGTCTAGATGAACTTTTACATATGTATACATCAGTGTAACCACCACCCAGATCAATGTATAGAATATTTCCAGCATTCAAAAAGGTGCTTTCATGCTCCCTTTCAGGCAGTAGTGTAAAGACTCTTCTGACCTCTGTCACCATGGATAAATTTCACCTGTTTTTGAACCCCTCATAAATGAAATCATATTGTAGGTACTCCGTGTGTCTGTGAGATTCATCTATGTTGTGTTTCAAGTTTCATTCTTATTTATCAAAGTGTAGGCTGATGGGTCTGAAATCTCATTGTGTTTTTACTTTGCATCTCTATTATTACTAATGATATTGAGTACTTCTTCATATGTTTACTGGCCACTTTGCTATCCTCTTTTATAAAATGCCCATTCAAAAATTTCACCCAGTTTTAAAATTTGGTTTATCTATCTTCTTATTGCCTGGTGGCAGTTCTTTATATATTCTTGATGTTAATGTCCTCCAGCCAAAGACCACGAGGAACACGTCTGTAATTGAACAAATTGGGTTTGTTATTCATTGCAGCAAAGGAGAACACAAATCCTGGAGAACCATGGCGTATCTCAGTAAGCAGGTGTTAGAAAAGACTTTGTAAGATATTTGGGCTTTGGTTGGGTAATTTGGGGAGGGTTTAAGGAAGTGAAGCTTTGCTCTGGATTGGATGCTGTCATAAAGTGGGGGGAATTGTGTGATTGGGTGTCTTAATAAATATTATCTATAGGGCGGGCAGATTTATAATTAATGCCTTTTTGTGTCCTGATTCAGAAACCTTTGCCAAACCTAATATCATAAAGATATTCTCCTTTGTTTTCCTCTAAAACTTTAATTGTTTTAGCTTTCAAATTTAAGTCTATAATCTATACTGAATTAATTTTTATGTATGCTGGGACGTAGGGGCCGATGTTCATTCTTTTCATTGTGGATATCTAATTGACCCAATAACATTTATTTAAAAGACCATTCTTTCCCCTACTGAACTGAGATGGTGTCTTTGTCATAAATCAGGTGACCATATACGTGTGAATTTCTTTCTGGATTGTTTATTGTATTCCATTTGTTTATCTGTCTATCCTTGCACTAATACCGCATGCTCTATTTTTTTTTTAACAACATGCCTTGATGTCCCATACTGTAAGTCATTCAGCTTTGTACTTCTTCAATAGTGACTTGGCTATTCTAGATTCTTTGCCTTTTCATATAAATTTTAGAGTCACTTATCAATTTTTCTTATGGTTAATAATTTTTATATCCTGTTTAAGAATAACCCAAGATCATGAAGATATCCTCCTGTATTTTCTTCTAAAGTCTGCTTGATTTTGATTGGAATTGCATTGAATCTAAAAATAAATTTGGGGAGAATATATATTATAACAATTTTAAGTCTTTCAATTCAGTAACATCTTATAGCCTTCCATTTATTTTATTTAACTTAGCTCAGTCATATTTTGGATTTTCCAGTGTTGAAGTATTGCAAATATTTCATTCTCAGTCATTGGATAATTTATAACACTATCATAAATGGCATTATTTTTGTTAAATACTGTTCTCACTAGTTCATTGTTAGTAAACAGGAATACAGTTAATTTTTTATAGCAGCTTTATTGAGATATAATCCACACTCTATAATATCACTTATTTTAGTTAAAGATTTATTTATTTATTCATTTTATATTTTATTTTGGCTGCGTTTGGTCTTCGTTGCTGTGAGCGGGCTTTCTCTAGTTGTGGTGAGGGGGGGCTACTCTTCACTGTGGTGCACCGGCCTCTCACTGCGGTGACTTCTCTTGTTGAGGAGCACGGGCTCTAGGTGCACGGGCTTCAGTAGTTGTGGCACGTGGGCTCAGTAGATGTGGCTCGCGGGCTCTAGAGTGCAGGCTCAGTATTTGTGGTGCACGGGCTTAGTTGCTCCGCGGCATGTAGGATCTTCCCGGCCCAGGACTTGAACCCCTGTCCCCTGCATTGGCAGGCGGATTCTTAACCACTGCACCGTCAGAGAAGTCCAATATCACTATTTTAAATTACTATACAAGTGAGTAGTTTTTACTGTATTCACAGAGTTGTACAACCATTACCACTACCTAATTTTAGAATATTTCCATCACCTCAGAAAGAATCCCTCTGCCTCCCCATTATTCCCTCTCCCAAGCTGCAGCAACTACTAATCAACTAACTCTCTGCATCTATATATTTGCCTATTCTGAACATTTCATATGAATAGAATCATACAATATGTGGTCTTTTGTGCTAGCTTCTTTCACTTAAGCCCTATGTTTTCTAGGTTCATCCATGTGGTAGCATGTATCAGTCCTTCATTCCTTTTTATGGTTGAATAATATTCCATTATACGGATATACCTTATTTGGTTATTCATTCATCACTTGCTGAACTTTTGAGTTGTCTCCACTTTTGAGCAATTATGAATAGTGCTATTATAAATATTCATGTACAAGTTTTTGTGAGGATGTATATTTTCAATTCTCTTGAGTACATACCTAGGAGTGGAATTGCTTGTTCTGTTGTATGGTAACTCTATGCTTAACTTTCTGAGGAACTGCCAGACTGTTTTCCACAGTAGCTGCACCATTTTACTAGCAATATATGAGGACTCATTTCTCCACACTCTCACCAATGCTTGTCATCGTCTGCTTTTAATTTTTATACATCATTCATGTATTCAGCAAAATTACTAACTTTATTATTTCTAATTATTTGTAGATTCGTTGGGATTTTCTATGTCTGCAGTCAGATCTTCAAATAATGGCTTTTATTTCATTTACAATCTTAATACCCTTTATTTCCTTTTATTGGCTAGTTATGCTGGCTAAGACCTCCAAGACATTGTGAACAAAAATGGTGAGAGTGGATAATTCTGTCTAGTCTGTGACCTCGAAGGAAAGCATTTGATATTTAACCATTAAATATTATCTTAGTTGTAGTTTTTTTCCAGATATACTTTATAATTTTAATGAACTTACTGTCAAATAATTCTGAAAAAATTATATATACATAGTGTTATATATGTATATGTACATAATGATGCATATGATTCAGAAAATACACATTGTCCATATTTTACAGGTAGATACATAGATAGGGAAAGAGAGAAATAGCAAATGGGATAAAGAGACATGGGAGT